TTTTTGAGATGAAGTCTTGCTCTGTTGCCCAGCTAGAGTGCAGTGGCGCAATCTCAGCTCACTACAACCTCCACATCCCTGGTTCAAGCGATTCTCCTGCCTCAGCCTCCCGAGTAGCTGGGACCACAGGCATGCACCACCACACTCGGCTAATTTTTGTATTTTTAGTAGAGACGGGGTTTCACCATATTGGCCAGGCTGGTCTTGAACTCCTGACCTGGTGATCTGCCCGCCCCCGCCTCCCAAAGTGCTGGGATTATAGGCGTGAGCCACTGCACCCAGCCCACACTGCCATTTTCATAAAAATAGGTAACAGGAGTTGGTAGTCTATGATAGACTGATTTAGTCCTATGATTTTAAGAAAGGTGAACACACTGGTCAAAGATACTAACCTTTTTTGGGCCATACTTAAGGAAATACTGAGCCAATTCAAGGATTATTCTAGCATCTTCTGTGGCATCATGACCAAGTCTGTCTGGACACTGTATATCCTTCCTGGAAAGTCAGTATAAAATTGACATACTCACAGCACTTTTAATGATAGGCTCTTTCAACCATCTCAAGTGTTGTGATTACATATAAAATGTTAGAATTCTGGTAATTAGATTTGCATCACAACAATCAAGGTGTCTTTATTCCAGCTAATTGCCAGGCCCTGCAAGAGGCACTGGGGGTGCAGAACAATCAGGAATGGCTTTGTTCACAGCAAACATAGCATGTGGACAAAAGGCTACCCAACAAAAAGCATCTAGCTGACTCCCCGGCCAGTCCCCTCTCTAAGAAATGGGGTAGGCCCATTTCTTAGATCTAACCATTGTTTAAAATTGCCTTCCTGAAACTTTTTTATTTGTATATAAGTGTCTATACATACTTAAATACTTTCTTAGGTGTTTTTAAAAAGCTTAATATATGTATATGCCTATGTCTATAGATAGAACTAAATCTAATCTATATCATATAAATATTGAGGCATATATAAATCTTACTCTGCATCTCTTATTCTCAGGAGTGTCTTAGAGAGGTTTCCATATAACATACAGATTTATCATATTCTTTTGAACAACAAAATATTCAATAATATAGATAACCATAATTTACTCAGACTTCTAGAATATTTGAGGTTTTTCTATTTTGCTATTTTAAACCATGTTATAATGAACACCTTTGTACATATGTGTCTTAATACAATAGGACAGTATAAGTATGTTACACTATCTTGTATAGGCATATAGGTATGTTTTGAAATTTTGGTTACCTCTTCTGCCTTCATGGTTCAGTTCTATCCATTAAGCCTCAACTATGAATGTAAACCCCTGTCTCTATTGCTACAATTTCTTCATTTTATAAGAAATGCAAAAAAATAATGTTTATAAACAAAGAGAGCAGAAATCCTGAATTTTGCAATACGCATTAAATTAGATACTATATGCTAACTTGCATGCAGTTTGTCAGAACAATATTACAGTATATAAGCAAACCTACCCCAAAATAGCTTTGGCTAAGAACTTCAGCTTAAATCTTCTGCCCTGCTCTCTGACATAAAGCAATGATGTATCAATAACATATGGATGTATCATCTGAGGAAGAAAGAGAATAAAATGAGTAATGTCTTATGCTAAAGGAAAAAACAAGTGGGCTAGGAGGGTGGGGGAGAAGAGCCCAAGACTTTCGATTTGAGATAAATGGAACAGGCATTTATACTGAAAATACAAAGTCCTAAATCAGATACTCACTTTCAGTGCTCTGAGATCCAAATCTAAGGAGTGGCCCACTAACACAGCATCAGGAGGAAGCAGTGCTTTTAACTGCCTCTGTACATCTTTGAGTTTGGTCGTCACTGGGTTAAGAATCTTCTTCGTGATTCCTGAAAAGCTTTCAATAAAAAAAGAGAAATGGACAGGCAAGGATATTAACAAGTTTTCCTCTCTGGAAAGACATTTTAAAAATAACATTTTAAAAAATTATAGTTTTTATATATATGCTTAGTGTCCAAAGCGACAAATAAGAATTAAAAATTAGTCATAATCCTATCACTCAGAGATGATCGCTTTTTACATTTTATTAAATGTCCTTCCATACTTTTGATATAGATTCAGGTATATATTTAATTTTTATAAAAATATAATCATAATGCATGAGCTGCTTTTTAACAAATCTATCCTTTGTAATATGTCATAAACACATTTTCATATCAATAAATCTATTTTAGCACATCCTTTTAAATGGTTACAGAGTGAGTATTCCATCATACAGATGCAACATATTTTAACTAATCCCTTACTTTCAGACATTTATATACCTCCATTTTTGCAATACTGTGACAAACATGCTTGTGCATACAACTTTGCCACACGTGACTGTTCCCTAAGAATCTAATTTTCAAGTCTGCTAATAGGACAGTTATTTATCACTATCATTGCCTCTCTGTCCCTAAGTAGTCATGAATCTACCGGTGCCACTTCAATGGATGGGAACAGTAATGTTTCACTGGCTTCTTGCCTAGTCACTGTGTGTACATTCTGAAATTACATGCTAATCTTTGGAAAAGTAGACTAACATTTTGAGCTTTGAATTTCTGTTATGAAAAATAATAGTTTTGTTTGTGTTTTCGGGGTCAAGGCAGATTAAGCTCTAACATCACTTGACTGCCAAATGATGATTTGCAGATTTTCAGATGAGGTCTTATCAGAAAGCAAAGCTCCAGCTGTTTGGCAGTTGTAGATACTGATTATAATTGGGAGATTCTGGAACAAGGAAGATAATATTCTGCTGACTTAGGTCACAAGAAGATTGAAGATCAAGAAGGGCAAGAGCATTATACACTGACATTGTGCAATTTCAGCATTAAAATATACCTATGTGATGCCCTAATCTTTGATAATACTTAAATAGATAAAACCCAACTAAACTGAAGCTATGGGCCATTCTTCTTAAGAATTATTCCATTCTAGTCTGATAGCTCTCAGAAGAGCTGAAGACAAGGTGAAAAATACCTGGTGAGGTAGTCCAGAATCTTGTTTTCAGGTTTGACCAGTTCATCCATAACACAGCAGCCTCCTTCAGCAACCAGTGAGATGCGTGTTAGCTCTCTCCCCTTAGATGTGAGGCACTGAAAGACCAAGATGTAGTCAGTCTGCTGAACTGTGGAAGGTATTGCTTCCTCTTACTATTTGCACTATGTCAACTGCCATCTATTCTAATCTACCAGGGTCCCTGCAGCAATGGCACAAACTTGCTTACTAGAGGATCTAGTGTGAGTGAAATTAAAGCTGGGCAGGCTGTTGAATGTTACACTTAAGAGGATCAACACAGTGTAATTTGCACAAGGAAGATGAATGCAAATCGTATTAATAATTGTATCTACCATTTATGGAGTGTGTACTATATCCAGTATTATGCTAAATACCACTAATAGGTAATTTTTATTAAGCCCATTCTATTATCGGCTAGTGCTGTACTAAGCATTTTATATATGTCACTCTCATAATTACCTTTTGAGGTAGTCTTTATTATTACCCCCACTTCACAGAGGGAGAAGCCCAGGCTGATATGTTAGGGGAATTTGTCCAAGGTGACATAGCCACTAACAGGCAAGGACAGGATATACACCCTGATATGTCAGATTCTCAAGTTTTAGGTCTTAGTTACTCTATTAAGAATTGAGAAACTGTTTCCTGAGTACTGAAAGAGGATGCACTGTCTTTGAAAAGAGGCTTACTACAATTAGATAAAGCAAAGCATGAGGGGAACTTAAGGAGAGAAATCCTACTTCTGGTCTTCAAGGTGTAAAACTAAGCCAAACCAACAATTAAGGCAAAGTCCTCATAGCAGCAACAACAAAATACTTGTTCAAACATAAGGAATCAACTTATAGTAATGTGCAAAGACTTGATTAAACATAGTAACTAGTTGGAAAACTTATGTGATTTTTTTTTTTTTT